GGATGGATCTAAATCCCACCCCTCCTTCAGAAGTTGGGTAGCATAAATCAGACCACTTTATCCAATGAAATTTGTGTTTGTCCTCCAGTTTTCACCAGAAAAAATTAGCCACAATTCTCTCTATTTGTTTAATGATTGTTTTAGGTGGAGATAGCACTGACAGCTGATGAAGAGGCAGCGCTTGCAACACAGATTTGACAAGAGTAGCTTTCCCACCATAAGAAAGCATTTTCCCTTGCCAGCCTTGTAATCTTGCTGCTACCTTTGCCACCATATTGTTAAAGTACACAACCTTTTTCCTTCCAACATAAATAGGACACCCAAGGTATTGCATAGGAAATTCTGAAGCTCTGACACCAGTGATTCTGCCCACCTCTGCAATTGTATCATCCAGAGAATTTGGATGCATAAAGAAACCTGACTTCTGCTTATTTACCAATTGGCCTGAGCATTGCTCATAGGTTTTCAAATTATCCATCATCATCTTCAAAGATTCTGGATCATTAGAGGAGAACAAAACAGTGTCATCCGCATAGGATAAATGAGTAATAATAGGCCCTTTCCTATCAACAACATAAGGAATAAATCCACCATTTACTAAACTGTCCATCAACCTTGAAAGAAGTTCAGCTCCTATGACAAATAATGAGGGTGATAAGGGGTCCCCCTGTTTGATTCCTCTTGTTGACTTAAAGAAACCATATCTGCTCCCATTTATGTTCACTGAGTACCATACATTTGAGAGGGTCCTCCATACTCTGTCTATCCATAGTTCATTGAATCCAAGTTGTCTCAGTACTTGGCATAGATAGTCCCATTCAACTCTGTCATAAGCCTTTGTCATGTCAAGCTTCAGTACTACATTTCCATGCTGCTTAGGTTTTCTGATGCTATGTACCATCTCCTGAGTCAACATAATATTTTCCGTGATTGATCTCCCTTTAATAAAGCCTGTTTGGTTAGGAGAGATCAGCTTCTGCATCAATGGGGCCAGTCTCTGATTCAACAGCTTTGAGATGATCTTGCATGTGAAGTTACTCAGACTTATTGGTCTGAGTTCACTAAACTGTTGTGGGCACCCCACCTTAGGTATGAGTACAAGGCATGTATGTGTGAATGCCTTTGGTAATTCAGTACCTGCAAAAAAATCAAGAATCATTAGAAAAAGATCATTCTTGATGATCTCCCAACAAGAATGATAGAACTTTCCGGACATTCCATCAGGCCCAGGTGCACTATGGCTGCTCATCGACATCACGACCTCCCTTATTTCCTCTATCGTAGGGATAGCATTCGGTGCCAAATTCTCTTCACTCCCTATAATCTTTGGTAGAAGGTTCACTGGTGATAGGTCTCTATTCTGTATTTCTTGAGAAAATTGTTTTTGAAAAAATTCCACAGCTTCATTGGCTATGTCTTCTTCTCCTTCAATCCAGATGCCATCCTCCTTCCTTATTTTCTTAAGAGAAAGTCTCTTCTTCCTTCCCTTAACAACTGAATGAAAAAAATTGGAATTGACTTCACCTTCTACAAACCATTTGATCCCAGCTTTCTGTTTCCAGTAGTTCTCCTCTTTTTTAACTGCTCTAATCAGTTCGGCATTAACTTGGTTGAGAGCAGTTCTATTGTATTCAGAGTTATCAGCAATGGATATAGCCTCCAGGTCTGCAACCCTATCTTCCAGCTCCTTTACTTTATCAAAAATGTTACCAATAGAGTTTCTAGACCACTCAGATAACTTCTTTGCAGTGTTCTTTAGTTTCAAATGAAATCTCCACATTGGAGAGCCATTAATCTCCTCATTCCATGCTTGTTCCACCACCTCCAAGAAGTCAGGTTCATCAACCCAAAAGTCCAAGAATTTAAAGTATTTAATAGGTTCCTTACTCTTGGAAATCACTTCGATGAATAGAGGGGAATGATCAGAACCAGTTCTAACTAAGTGTGAGACATTTGTAGAAGCAAATTGATTCATCCATTCTTGATTCACCAGCACTCTATCCAGTCTCTTCCAAACTCTCCTATTAGGACTCCATCCGTTACACCAAGTAAAATTGGAGCCGGCATACCCTACATCCATCAGGTCACAATCCATGATACACTGTAGAAAAGCCATACTTTTTGCCATTCTGTGTGGACTTCCTCCCATTTTTTCCATAGGATCAAGAATGCAGTTAAAGTCTCCGGCCACAATCCAAGGTATCTTATAAGTATCAGATATAAGCCTAAGACTATCCCATAGGACTTCTCTGTCACCTGCTTTACATTTGGCATAAACAAATGACATCAAAAGAGAACTTCCATCCACTGTCACTTCACATGTAACTTGTTGCTCATCAGACTCCACCACCTGACATACCACTAGTTCATCCCAGAATACCCATATCTGACTATTAACATTGGAGAATGCATTTGCATAACCCAACATTCTTTTGTATCTGTCCAGTTTATCAACCTTGTAGAAAGGTTCTGATATTGCAATAATTGGAAATTTCTTGCTTCTAATCATTTGTCTAAGTCTCTCAAGGGCACCCATAGATTTGATGCTCCTAACATTCCAAAAAAGAGACTTAATCATGATAAACTTATTCTGAGAGTTTTGGACCCTTTGATAAGCTCAAAGAGTATTTGTTGGATTGTCTGCCACCCTTTCCTCTTTTTGAACCAGTACCTCCCCTTTGATTTGATCTGCCTCTAGGTGACAGATGAGCCTTGTCAATTACTTCATCCACCGCCATTGCAAAGTTGTCATTTGGGTTAGTTTGAGGAGCAAAAGCTTCAATAAGCGACTCCATATTCTCATCACTATCTTCACTATTGTCTTCACTGTTATCCTCACAGTCAACACTAGCATAATCACCACTATCTTCCGAGCTTTCATCATCCTCATAATCAGCTTCTTTTGCGCTATCCTCTTCATCCTCAAATGATTCAGGCAGTTCTCCTGGATTCTCCGTGTCAATCTCAAGTTTCTTCTGTGAGGTCTCCAAGTTGGTTCCACATATTAGCTTGTTGAAAGCATTTTGCACTTGTCTACATAAATTTGCAGATTTTGCAAGGCAGCTACAATTCATGCAGTCTGTTGGCTTGACATCAGATGTATTGTACAAACTCAAAAAACTGTCACCAAACACATAATATGGTGCATATTTGGTATACAAATTAGCACGGAAATATTCAGGGCTCGAATTTGGCAAGGGAGTTATTAGCAGGGGTAGATGTAGAGTAGTGGCGCCAGGTTCATATGAACCCATAACTTTCGACGCGGAGTATAATTATGCGTAAAAATTCATTACAATTACAACAAATGATAGGTCTGAACCCATAAGTTCAAAAAATATAATGGATTAATACTAGGAGGCTTAAAATTTGAGATACTTAAAATTTGAACCCGTAAAGTTTAAATCCTGGATCCGCCTCTGGTTGTTCGTAAGATTTCCAGGGAGCTGGAAAAAGATGCTGAAAACAGAGCTAGCATTCTGTACTTGGAGAATGGTACTTCTAGTAGTCCAAGGAATCGCGTTTTTAAGGGAAATTTTCGAAAAGAAGAGATGAATAGATGAATGAAATAAAACTGAGGATTTTGAGAATTGAAGAAGGAGAGTTCAATAGCGTAGAGATAAGATTTATGTAGATAGAATGCCTTCATTGTAAGTGTGGCCTCATTGTTCAGGGCATTGAGTTTCGACCTAAATGAGGAAATCTTAGCTCTTCTTTTGCACCAGGTGAAGTTATATGGTCAAAAAGAGGTTCAATTGAATTACCTTCGTTGAAAAATTATACTGTTCAAATAGTATTAAGACTAGTAATTTGTGTATATATACAAATTGTTGAATCATTTGACATAAGGGAAGCTTCCACTGTAGTAGTAAAGGTAGTTCGAACATTGCTGTAAGTTGTCGTTTTGTTTTTCAGGTGTGACATTCTTGCATTTTTCTGAATCCGCTCGGCAGAATTTCTGGTTTTTTTATGCAGGTTACATGTAATGTAAGTGTACCTAAACATGATTGGAGTAGCTTGTATGCTGCCCATCCTGTTTTCTTAGAAGGAATAACTTTAGACTTCAAAAGAGTGCCTTATACATTGCCAAGTTTCAAATACTAGTAGATGCTGTTCAGAATAAGATTCTGAATTTTGTCATTAAGTTCCGTCTCAAAAAAAAAAAAAAAGATATTGTCATTAAGAATGATATTCCGGCGAGCTTGCTCACATCGCCGATCCCAGGCCCGAATAAAGGAGGAGAATTGTGTTAGATTGCCAGCAAAACTTCCCAGTTCATGATGAATAGCCGACCCAAACTTATTTGAGGTTGGTTGTTGTTGTTGTTATCATTAAGAATGATACTATATGTAGGTTACTTTATCAGAGTGTGCTCTTAGAGTTAACGATCCCCATTTCCCACTACCCAGTAAGTTTCTTACTCAAGAGTTGTAGTTCCTTAATTAGCCTTTTTAACCCAAAAAAAAAAGTTCCTTAAAATAGTCCAGGACTAATAGCCAAAAAACCAAAAAAAAAAGGAATATTTTCAAATTTCTTCCGACTTCAATATATAACACATGACCTTTGATAGGAAGGTGTGGAGGACGGGAACTAGGGTTGAGTTTAGGGGATAGTCGGGCGTTTTCCTCATTGTATCGGCTAGTTTGATCGTGTTTTGTCCATGACCGTTTGCGGTTTTTTTTATTTTTATTATTATCATCATTATTGTTGCCCTTCCATTTATTTGCTATCTCTTACGGTGCTGATATTATTTTTTTGGTTTCTGTTGTTGTTACGAATTTATTGTCTCTGAGCCAAGGGTCTCCCGAAAACAGCCTCTCTACCCCTCCGGAGTAGGGGTAAGGTCTGCGTACACTCTACCCTCCCCAGACCCCACTAGTGAAATTCTAGTGAGTAGTTTTTGTTGTTGTATATAACAGAAAGATCCTTGTTCCAAAAGTGAATCAAATAATTAAAATTTCAGAAATGAAAATTGTACTTCTAGCTAGTGCTGTTTGAGGGAAAGGAAGTCGCGACGTGCCATTATTAATTGATTCAAAACTTTAGCAACTGTGGTAATATTGCCAACAATTGATAACAGTAAGTTTGTTAACTATCAGAGAACTAAACAAGAAAACACTTTAAAAGCAAAGGAAGGTATTACATTCCTTTTTCCTAATAAATGAACCAAAGAATCAGTCTACCTAATTGATCCTTCAGAAATGGATGCAACTTTGCAAATACCAGATGATGTAGTGAATGGTAAATCTTTATAGCAGGCAACCAACTCCTTATTTGTATGCAGATCCAACTGAACAGTTTCCCAAATCTTCTTCTTAGAGTTCAAGACATCATCAGGCTTGCCATCAAACCCCGGGAATGTAACTCGTTCCCCAATTGCAGCATCTTTAGGTGGCTCAACTAATTCAACCTGACGTTGCATCAAATATCCAGATAAATGATCAGAAAGTCTATCCTAATAAAAATCCAATGAAACATATAATATCGGCAAGTGGATAAGTACACTGTAGATGTTAGTCGTATAAAGCATGTTGCTCAATACTATTGTTGATTACTGGTGTTTTAAAAGGCGTTTTCGGGGCGAGGCGCACCAAAAATGCCCCGAGGCGATGGTTGAGGGACGAAAGTCTCAAGAGGCGAACGCACAGCAATTCGGGGCATACGCCGGGGCGCTGAAGCGCATTTTTGTAGTGAGGCGTAAACCAAAGAGACTTTTTCAAATTAAAACCAAATTTGCTGAATAAATCCTTAATATAGTACCCAAATTCTCAAAAGTCGGCTTGTAATTATTCAAAAGTTTTAAAAAGGAACTGAAACATTAAATTTAAAAGTCAAGACCTTTTTTTATTACTAGAAGCTCTAATTTATGGTCTTTCTCAATTCTTTATCTTGTCCGCTAGTCTGCTACTATCACCCAAAAAACGAACAATTAATTTATTTTTGCAAATACAAAGAAAGCTCATTCTCCTCTATAATAGCAAGTTCAAAATTCAAATTGCAGGTTATCATCCTTATTGTTCCTCTACGTAGAAAACTTTATGCTTTTCAACTCAAGTTACTTATGCTGGTAAGTAGTGTATAATGGATTGTTTTGACTAATATTTGTGGGGATGGAGCACATCAATATATATTTTTCACTTATTTATAGTTTTCTTCAATTTTTATGCAATTTTACCTATTTAAAAATATTTACTCTAATTATATTATTTTACGAAATATTAAAAAATAGATACCCATGGCCCACGCCTTTTAAAACGCTGTTGACTACTATCACAAATATATTTGCTACTTGCAAGGGAACACTTTTTCGATGTTTCTACCTAGTGAAATAAAACAAAGCAAGAAAGTAGACGTCCTTAGCAAGAAACTCAACTTTTCCATTTGAAAAGTATGTTAGCCAGTAGACATTATTTCAGTATTAAGCAAGTAAAATGTATTCAAAAACACAAACACATTTAAGGTACATAGCAATTTTACCAAGATAACATGGACAGAGAGATAAGCACAGATCACAGTTTACCTTAGTGTGATCGCTATTAGACGCAGCAAGAACCATTGCCTGGGACTTTATCCCCCTCATGCTAACTGGTTTTAGGTTGCATAGAACGCAGACCTTCCGATTCTGAAAAGGAAACGTCACTGAGAATAAATTCACCAGCTCATTTTATATTTGATACTTGCAAAAGGTGGAGAAGCCAAACCTGCATCTCCTCAAGTGGAATATAGTTTACAAGGCCACTAACAACAGTTCTGGGCAGAGCTTCACCAACATCAATCTCTTCCACGTACAATGAATCAGCATTAGGATGTTTTTGTGCCTTCGTTATGAGACCAACGCGAATGTCAAGTCTACTAATGGAAATTTCTCCTTCGACAGTGGCTGGGGCCTTAGATTTGGTTTCAGAAGATTTTTTTGCACGTTCCTTCTTATTACCATCTGATACACAAAATAGAAAAACTAAAGTAAGCCATAATCCATATGATTCTCATGCAAGAATAGAACTAAACTGCAGCCATCAACCATGGCGGACTTGAGGTAGAACTAAGATAGGAATCTGACAGGATCCCAAGGTAGATGCATAAGCATAGATGATTTACTTGTCTCTTTTGAAAGCAAAAGGTATCTGTATGTATTCTTGAAAATCTTAAGTCTTTGGAACCAACCAGAAATCTTCAGAGACAATGAGGAGTTAGAGGTCTGGTATTAAGAAAACAAGAGGATCAAAAGAGAGGTGGTCAATAGGCACAGTCGAGAAGTGCCTCGAGGAGGATCAAAGCTTGCTAACAAATTTATGCCTAAAGAAACTATAAGGCTCCTTAAACTCTTCATACCCCTGTCGTAGAAATAAATAAACTCATCACAGCAAGTCAAAAAATATGGAAAAAGAAAAAATTCCAACCTGATATTTTTGTTTTGTTCAGTTGTTCAGCCATCTTTTTGGCATCAGTTTCTGCCTTCAGAGCCCTATCTGCCCTATCTGCCTGACTTCCTGCAAACTTCTCTCTGTAGAATTCAACTTCTTCATCTTTCTGTATATTATCATCAACAACAATTATAAACCAGCCAACAAATGAAAGAATGAATAAACATGCAGTAAAAAAAGACCGAAATGCATTACCAGCTCCTTGAACAATGGTGCTGGTGTTCCAATTTTGTGACCTGCAGGTATAATGTTCCATGGTCTTTTGCTATTGGCAACGTCACCTTTTTCATCAGCCAGTGAAAGTTGTGTTTCAGGAGGCAAGTTGAGCTGCTTAAGCACCTGTGAATCAAGAGGGAAAAGCATCAAACACCTAAGCACAGACAGATGGCATCAACACAAAGTTCAAGTTTGCAATGATGGCAACAGAAACACTACCTCACGTGAAAAGGATGGCATAAATGGCTCTAAAAGACATGCCAGAAGATAGACTAGACCACAAGCAGTTCTCATCACTATGGAACACGAACGCCTATCTTCCTTGTAAAGTTTCCAAAACTGACTTTCCTACAGAAAGAAATACAATGTGATGAGCAATTTGAGATCAGAAACCATAAGAATACCCATAGGTCATTACCCTTGTCACATGAAAAGTTCAAAATTTCCAACATGTTAACTAATCGATTACTATAAATTGGATCGGATTTTGCTGTTTTTTTTCTGCAGTACCTCGACGTGACATGAGCGTGAAAGGGGTTCAAGAATCAGCTTTCTTTTTATAAGGGCTAAAATCACTTATTTTGGCTTTTTTACCCCATATTGTAGGGTGGATCTCGAAAGATATGAAAGATCTCCCTCAGTTAAAAATTTTTTTTTTTGCTCGATAATTCAGCTAGTTAATCTAAAATGAGAGTCACATCGCATAGCAGTTATAGATCAAAAACCCAGATAGCTAGAAAGTATTTGACAGGATTACCTGCAGATAACCGTTTCCTTCACCAGAAACAGACATCGCAACCTTCAAGCCTTGCTTTAATTTAACCTAGACGAATTGCAACAGATGTTATCAAACATTGGAAATAAGAGCACCAATCAAAATAGAGTAAGCTGCAAGAAAATATGTCACCCGTGGCGGATGAGTCACTTTATTATCGTGGCATTTTCTTTCTTTCTTTCTTTTTTTATTTTTCTTTACTTATAAAATAAGATCACATGACTTCTAGTTCACTAAAACTGAGAGAACCCGTGGTGGATGAGTCACCTTCTCCATGGCTTCTATATACTGCTCCACGTAATTTCCAACTTTTTCACCCAATGCCTTTGTCAAGGGATGTGATTCCGCTCCTTCAACATCGGGAATAATGGAACCATAACCTGAAGCTGTATGAGAGCATTGTCAATAAAGATCTGACAGATATGAGGGAAAAGGGGATAAGACTTTTCCCCGGGTAAATATGAAGGAATCTAGACAATTAGCAAAATGTACTACTTTCACCCAAGTAAGTTACCCAACATCTTTTCCTCTAGAAAAAATTTCTTCCTTCATCTTTTTTTTTTCTGCTTTCTAATCTTATATCTTTTCTATTAACGTTTTCTGCTTCTAAAATACTAGTATCACAATTCAATGAGGCCAAGTAAGAGACTTCTTTTTTTTATTTGTAAGAAACATAAATAGAGATTTGTAGCAATCAATCAGACAAGCACGGGATACTAACAGCAGAAAAAACATGAGCAATGTAGTAAACCACGTCATTTTTTAATACATAAACCGGAGGGATTGTAGCAAAAAAATAGACAACAAAATAAGCTGCCAAAACTTTTGCAAAACACAAAATACCAACAGAGAAGCAACTTTGACAACTAGAAAATCCATCAACAGGGAACAACTATGTAAATATCTAAAAGAACAGGTCGCTGAAATACCTGAATCTTTTGCGATGAAGCTCAAGACTCTATTGACAAAATTGCCTAAGTTGCTTAGCAACTCACTGTTTAACTTTGCTTGTAGGTCTGCCCATGTAAATAAAGTGTCTGAGACCTAGAATAACCAAAAATATTTAGTGATAGAATGGCATTACAAAACTGGGAAATATTGAACAGCAAAAAACATTGTCAAAGCACCATGGGCCTACCTCTGGCCTGTTTGTCAGCAAGTAATATCTCCATACTTCTACAGGAATATTTGTATCTTTTGCATCATTACCAAAAACTCCTATACCCTTGCTCTTAGAGAATTTGCCTGATTAGGACAACCAAAAAAGAGAAGGGAAAGATTATCAAGTCAGAAAACATGGAATAATGTAATATTAACTAGTATCTCCTAACTAAAGTTTCAAGAAGCAATTACATATTGCAACGCTCAACTAATTTCTAATTAACCTGCTTCATAGTTCAAATATTCTGTTACGCTGATAGTTTTCATAAGCGTCCAGTTTTCACCAGTTCCGAGAAGCGTAGATGGGAATATTACCTGGACATACAAAATAATTACAAACCCCCTAACTTCACAAAATTAGTAGGCTACCAGCAAAGAATTTCAAAGATTTTTAGAACTTACAGTGTGAAAAGGCACATTGTCCTTGCCCATAAACTGATACAGTTCCACATCATCTGGATTCTTCCACCACTTCTCCCACTCGGTTGTATAGCATGAGGTGATTGAAACATATCCAATAGGAGCATCAAACCACACATAGAAAACCTAATTACCAATCAAATGAATATTGTCGTGAAGCTAAGATCTTAGATAACAATTTTTGTGAACTTCAAATAAAATCAACAGAATAGAATTTATAGCCGGATGTGGACTAACAATCACAAAGTTATGAGTTACAATCAATCGTTTTCAATCAACCAACCTTATCCTTGTATTTTTCATGTGGTACTGGAACCCCCCATTTCAAATCTCTAGTTATACATCTTGGTTTAAGTCCTTCTCTAAGCCACGCATGTGTTGTGTAGATAGCATTCTGACTCCATCCCCCAGCCACTGACATGTTGTTGACATATGCTTCTAATCTATCCTTCAGCAAAGGGAGCTCAAGAAACAAATGGTCTGTATCTCGGATACATGGAGTGTTGCGACAAACCTGTTGAGTAACCAAGCAAAGACTTAAGCAGTTAGTTAATTTACCACATCCATATTTTTAGTCAAATATGAGTCCATAAAACTTTCTAAACATCCTTATACTCTTAGTCCAATATATGAATAAGATTATGAGGAACTTTTGTGCTTCCAATCCTTCGTACATCAATTCCATTGCAAGAAAATTAATCGTCTGCAAATCATGTGATTCAGCTCAAACAAACGATCAAATATCTTGCTGAAGGAATTTGCACTCATTTTCAAGAAACCGATGTGTTTAACTAAAATGAGAGTATACAACATAAAACCTAGTAAAGAATATGCACCTGCTAAGACGAAAGCATATAAAATTAAACCTAGTAATGAATATGCATCTAACAGAATATGAGACGAAGTGCGAACCTTGCATTTTGGCTCCATTAGTTCTGTGGGATTTAAAAGTTTCCCACACTTTTCACATTGATCTCCTCGTGCAGAATCATAGTTGCAACCTGGTGTTGGACAGTTACCCTCTACAAGTCTATCAGCTAAGAACTTTTTGCAAGTGTCACAGTAAAGCTGCATAAGAAAATGAACTTCAGCTGGGGAAATGTCAACTACGCTACAGCTGTGGTCCGTGCAACTTCAATTAAAGAAGTATTTAAAAGCTTGATGACTTGAAATCATACATATGTTTTTGGTGAGTTTCCTTGGATTCAATGACATTTCTTGTCGCTTCTTATGTTGGAATGGACTAAATTCTAGTGTGTTCACGTGTACGGTAGGAAGCCAACAAAGCTAATGCTAAACGCGTAGCAATCGAGGCAAACAACAGTTGCAAAAGCTAATTTCCAGGGAAATAATCCATACTACAATCCGGTACCTGTTGCATTGTATTCTCAGAAAGCCAATTATTCTCAAAGAGCTTCTTGAAAATTGCTTGACAAACTTCTGTCTGCTGTGGCGTTGATGTGCGTCCAAATTCATCAAAGCTTATGTCAAACCATTTATAGACTTCTTTATGAATAGCATGATATCTGCAAAGCCAATAAGAGGAGAAAGGAATTGTGAAATGGGGTTGTGTTCATGTTGACTCCCTCTGGTTAAAAATTACATCTCTCACAACCGAATAAAGTAAAAGGATGAATTACAAGGACTCAGAAGAAAGCAAACTTTAATTTTCAAAAGGCAAACCAAGTATATGAAAGGTAAATTTTATTCTTCAACTCCTTTCCTGAAGGTGTCTTAACCATGATGTTTTAGCCCGCCTCTTTTGGAGCTCTTGGAATAATCATGTGAAAAAGTCTACAGAAACATTTAACTGCTATTTTTTGTTATATAAACCTACAAATTTCATACTGGTACATCATTTGCTGTTGTCTGGACTTCAATTGGATTAAAATATCTTTAGCTCTGTCAATATAACACTTCAATAAACATAAGAAAAAGGATAACTTGGAAGCTTAAAAACCTAACGAGACTTAAAATTAATTTCCTTGGTCAGTTGGTCCAAAACATAATATATGAATTGGGAAAACTTAGCCAATTATTTAATATGTTACCTGCGGCGTACTTAACATCACAAAGACACAAAGACCACCGTGTTCAACATATTTCTTGAGAGAAAAACTCGATATTTTTAATAGAAGAGCCATTTGTTCGTCTAATGTCTCTAGGTATACGTAATATGCTTGACAAGAACCTCATCTCTGTCAAAGTAAATGTAACAGCCCACGAGCCGCTAGGGGTTCGCTGTGAAACTTTCCTTGGGCAAATTATACATGGGAATTGGGGGAGAAAGTTAGGGGTCATATAAGAACAAGATAAGGATTCATCTGTTGAGGTGTCTTTTGGGTTAAAGCCCAAAGGGACAAAACCGTGTTTGTAGGCTAAGTTGCCCCGACACGGCAGTTTAGGTGCCGCATCCGTGTCGATACAACACTAGTATGGGTGTGGGTATAGGATCCATACCGGATCTGGTCAAACGATTTTGGGTACTTTGACCACGACGGACGAAAAAATTAGAGACGAGATACAATTTGATCTCAGAAATCAGAACCAAAACTAGGCTAAATTTAAAGAAAATAGAATAATTTATCCAGAAAATCAATCCTTTACTTACCTAGAACTTGAGAATAAAAAAGAAATCCACACTTTACAAGCTATAAGTAAATATTCCACAAAATTTCTCATAATTTAGAGATATTTTTATATTTTATTTCTTGAATTATTTTTAGCCGGATCCCCGCACCCGTATCCGTACTAGGATCCGTATCTTCGAATCCTAGAATTTACATCTTGAAGGATCCGACCTTTAGATCCGCACCCGTATCAAACACCCGCACCTGTGTCCGAGCAGCTCAGGTTGTAGGTCACTAAAGGAGCAACTCTATCATTGCTCCAATGCTCACCCTCGCACAATAAAAGCACATACTAGAGCTAATTTTATAATCACTACCAATAAAAATCTAATCTTTACCATAAAAACATGATAAACCCAAGAACTTAATACCTATTACTAAATGGAAATCTGTAAGTAAAAGATACTTGCAACAATTGACTACTAAATTAGTAATAAAAATCTAATCTTTACCGGTAAAACAAGAGAAGCCTAACAAAATTTCACACCTATTAGTACTTTATGCCTTCCCCAACACCTATCTCACCCACTGAATTTCCTCAATTGCAACAAAAGTATTATTTGGGGGGAAAGGCCATTTCATCTGTCAGTACGACAAAAAATGTTTTCGTCCATGAAGTCATTTTAGTTGTGGAAAATATTTTCCACCGAAATCACTTCATTCAAGTTTCAGCTGGAAATCATTTTCCTTTCCAAATATCCCAATTTCTTACTCTTGCTGCTTACTTATATTAACATTTAGACATTAGTAATCTTTTCTTTTCATAACCGCCAGCTTGTGCGCACTAATTCCACAGAATGCCTGCTCCCACCAACAATAGGTAGCGAGTAACTCTATCCACCAAGACCGGACATTATTAATTTATTCCAATCTACCTTATTAATATTTAATAGTCAAAATATCATAAAGCATTTTAAATTCTGCCCTTTACACCAAAGGCACCTAAATTCCATACTAAAAAAGGCAAATGCAAAATAAATTTTGCTTACTCGTCACAAATTTCCTTAGGAGTACAATTTTCCTCCAAAGCTTTAGTCTCTGTAGCAGTCCCATACTCATCTGTACCACACATGTATATTGCATTGTATCCTCTAAGTCTACAGTATCTCGCAAACACGTCAGCACTCAATACACCTACAAATTCCACCCAAAAAAATCAATTTTTCCAATTCCAAAATAAAAATAAAAAAAACCAAAAAAACAAAGCTATAAACAAATAAATAAATAAAGTTGTACGTACATCCAATAATATTGCCAAGGTGAGGAACGTTATTGACATAAGGCAAAGCGCTAGTAATTAGGATGTTTCGTTTGCCTGGGATTGGGAGTTTCGGAAATGTTTTGCAATTTTCGCCCATTTTTTGAGAGATCTGCTAGGGTTTAAAAGAGGTTTTTTTTGGCTATAATTGAAAAGCAGATGAAGAAGACGAAGAATAGAGAATGCTACTGTTTAAGGTAAGAGAAGCGTTATAATTTATAGACTGAATAAATTAACGGAATGAGGTTCTCTTTGGCAAGTGGTTTTTATGGGAAGAATATTCAGAATATATAAATACTTAGGGATATTTTGGCTTTAATCCCTCAAATATTGATAGATTTTAGTTTTGGTCCTTATGATATTTGGATAAGCACATTTAATCTTGGATTAATTAAAATGTGCAGTTTTGATCCCTTTATTATGTACCATTATATCATTAGTATTTGCTTGACTTGGTTTTGTTTGTGATCGATTTTATTGATTTAGCTAGCGTTTGGCCATAGATCCCAAAATTTATTTTGAAAAATCTGATTTGGGTGAAGTTTGGTTTGAAGATGAAAATGTGTTTGGACATACGTTTTCAAAACATATTTTCCAACTTTATTTTGGAAAAACATTTATATAATTTTCAAGTTTTGGGATTTTGGCCCAAAATCAGCTCATTTGGGATTTCAGATTTGGCATTTGGCCAAATGTGGACAAAATTTATGGCCAAACATGAATTTTGAAAATAAATCCCAAATTTATTTTGGCAAAACTCATGGCCAAACGGGGGCTTAGTAATTAAGAGAGACCTTTATGAGCATAATTCGTCCCTTAACTAGAATTGAACTCGATAGAGGGAATTTAAGGGGATTCGTTAGTTAAACGACATGTCAATTATTTTAGGAATCAAAGATTGTTGGGTTATTGTATTGAGTTTAGAGATATGTTAATCCAGCAATCATATTGGGCTACTTAGTAATTTTTTTTTATTATGTCGGGAGAACTTTAGAGTAACTATAAAGTTGTCTCCGTATGACCTATATAGGTTACCAATTTGAGCCATGTAAACAACTACTAATGTTTGTATTATGATAGACTGTTTACATCACACCCCTTGGGGTATAGCCAGTGGCGTAAGCAGAAATTTTTGTAAGCGATGTCAATATTTGAAGAAGTGAACAAATAAATAACACCATAACTAAAAGCGGTATTATTTTTCATATTTATACCAAATACTTTTTTTTTTATCTATAGATACATATTTACTAATTGTTTTGATGAAGTGGATAAGGTGCCTACGCCCTTGGGTGCAACACTTCCCACGCATCAATGCAGATGCTTCGTGCACTGTGCTGTCTTTTTTAATGCTCGAGAGAGGGAATATAATTAAGAAAGGATTAGTAGGAATCCGAAGATTCTATTAGTTAAATTAGATCCCAAAATTGATATAGCTAATAAATTTAAGTGAATTCAAAAGAAACAATAGAATTGATTAGTTAACAATGGGGAAATCACGAGCTAAATTGTCTTTCATAATAAGTAGTAGTAGTAATTCTTTTCGGCATGCATTTTTTCCTAGCCTTTCTTTTTCTTGCTAAATTTACAACCTTCTTTATTTGAGAAAAAAAAAGAGGGGATTATTTTTGGTTTGTCTTTTTTTTTGTGTGTGTGTGTTTTGGGTTTGGGGGGGGGGGGGTANNGGGGGGGGTAGATAAGAGAAGAAGAGGCTAAGAGTAAAATGTGGAGAGATGTTTGTTAAAAAGTGATAAGAAACTTTGAAACCACTGAAAATCAAGAACAAAATTTTAGGAATATCAAGAATGCACTGTTTTTTTCCCTTTTCCAACTTTACCATATCTCATTGGTAAAAACTAAAACAGTGCATTCTACTAACGATTCTTTTATGTTTTTCATAATTCATTGCATGAAAAGCCATGAAGATGTCAATACAGACCTCTTCTTGGCAGTAATTTTCAAAGAATCATAGCATACAAGAAAAAATAAAAAAGAAAAATATTTGCAATGGCGACTTCTTCGAATCCAAGAAAAGTAGATTCCTCGAACAGACCACCTCAAGCGGTCAAATTCTCACGACGCACGTCCAGTGGACGCGTCGTGAGCCTATCCCGGGACGATGATCTAGACGTCCCGGGGGACAGTCAAAATGATTTTATTAACTACACTGTAATGATGCCACCAACCCCAGATAACCAACCAGGGGCTGATGCAAATGGTGACAAGCCAGATGGTCCTGGACCATATGGCTCGTCGAGATTCAGGACCGAATCCCAAAGGAGAATGAGTAGTCGTGGAGGCGAAGATGATGATGGTGGTTTTGGTGGTGGTGCGCGTGGTGGAAATGCATCGGGTTTGGATCGTAGGATGTCTGTATTGAAATCGAATAATAAATCGATGTTACTAAGGAGCCAAACTCAAGATTTTGATCATAATCGTTGGCTTTTCGAAACTAAAGGAAAATATGGTATTGGAAATGCATTTTGGCAACAAGATGAAGGATCATATGATCATGATACTGGAATGAGTATGTCTGATTTTATGGACAAACCATGGAAACCACTTACAAGAAAAAGCAAAGTCCCACCTGAGATTATTAGCCCCTACAGGTTTGAATCTTATATTTGTTAACAAAAGAAATTTATATAAATTGTGATTCATGGTAATAATCTATGTTGTGCGAACTCTCTAAAACAGTTGCCGCACCTATGTCGGATCCTTCGAAAATACATAATTTTTGGAGGATCCGACACGCACCCCGACATTTTCGGAGAGTTCGAGCAACATAGGTAATAATCATAAAATGAAGAAGTTATTATTATTTCGCTCAAAAAATGTAAACATGCATCAGAGTATTTTTGAAGAATTAACCTAAACAGCAGTCGACCCAATCACTTAAACTAAAAATAACCAGCGGGGTATAATATATAATTCATGTGTAATATGTGTGAAGGGGAGCCTTGTCGTAACTGGTAAAGTTGTTGCCATGTGACAAGGAGCTCACAGATCGAGCCGTGGAAACAGCCTCTTGCAGAAATGCAGGATAAGACTGCGTACAATAGACTCTTGTGGTCCTGCCCTTCCCTGGACCCCACGCATAGCGGGAGCTTAGTGCACGTATAATTGGAGATTTCAGGTTTTAAGAGTTTCATCTTGTGGTTGTTTTCTGATCTATTTTTTCTGTTCCAATTTCAGGTTACTTATTGTTATCCGGCTAGTGGCATTAATTTGTTTTTTGACATGGCGAGTCCAAAATCCAAATTATGATGCAATGTGGCTATGGGGAATGTCAATAGTATGTGAACTATGGTTTGCATTTTCATGGCTTCTTGATATTCTTCCAAAATTTAACCCCATTAACAGATCTGCTGATTTAGCTGCCCTTAAAGAAAAATTCGAAAGCCCGTCGCCTTCGAATCCTCATGGTAGATCAGATTTACCAGGAGTTGATGTGTTTATTTCTACAGCTGATCCTGATAAAGAACCTCCTCTTGTTACTGCTAATACTATACTTTCAGTTCTTGCTGTTGAATATCCTGTTGAGAAACTATCTCTTTATATTTCTGATGATGGTGGTGCTATTCTTACTTTTGAAGCTATGGCTGAGGCTGTCAACTTTGCTCAGGTTAAATATTTTTGTTCATCTTGTCTACCTTAAATTATAATAATATCTACTTAGTGATTATTCCGATTGAAGGGGAACGCTGGAGCAAAGGTAAAGTTGTCTCTGTGTGATCTATAGGTCACTGGTTCGAGCTATCTATGTTGCAGGGACTCTCCAAAATGTTATTGCACCCGTGTCGGATTCTACAAAAATACACTACTTTTGGAGTATCCGACACGCACCCGGCGACATTTTCGGAGAGTCCGAGCAACATAGCGAGCCATGGAAGCAGCCACTAATGCTTCCATTAGGTTAGGCTGTCTATATAACACCCCTTGGATGCAGCCCTTTCTCGAACCCTGTGTGAATGCGGGATGCTTTGTACACCGGCCTGTTCTTTTTAGTAATTATTCAGATTAGAATTTTGATCAAATTTTAGCTAGTCATGGTAGTACGTTTACTTTAGTTGGAAATTTATTTTTGTCTGTTAATATGTGTACTTTAAGTCCTATGCTTTTAGGAGGTTTTTTGCCATATTAGAGAATCTTATACCAGTAGAAAATATAGAGAACTTTCAGTAATTTTTTGCTTCATTGGATGGAATATAATACTAATGATGCTTGTATTTCTGCTGGTTAACTAAAGATTTGGGTGCCATTTTGTCGAAAACATAACATTGAGCCAAGGAATCCAGACAGTTACTTCAGTCAGAAGACAGATCCAACGAAAAACAAGAAGCGTCCTGATTTTGTGAAGGATCGACGTTGGATCAAGAGGGAATACGATGAGTTCAAGGTCAGGATCAACGGTTTACCAGAAGTCATACGCAAAAGATGCGAAATGTATAACTTGAAAGAAGAAATGAAGGATAAGGAACTTGCAAAAGAGAATAATGGAGGGGAAGATGTTAAAGCTCAAAAGGCAACTTGGATGGCTGATGGCACACATTGGCCTGGCACTTGGTTTAGTCCTATTGCGGATCACTCTAAAGGAGATCATGCCGGAATTTTGCAAGTAATACTAAATTCTTTTACAGACTTCTCTGCCTTTATTATCATGAACTTATTTAATGAAATCTTTGTTTTTCAAGTCATCTTTTGGACATCTACCGTCAAACCTCTCTATAACAGTCTCATTTGTTCTGGTCATTTACTGGTTGCTATAGCGAAGTGTTGTTATTGAAAACATATGTTATAGTATAACATGAAAAATTGGTTTGAAAAAAAGTTAGCATTTAAAATGAAGTGTTGCTATAGAGGATTGTTGTTAGAGAAATCTGACTGTACAGTCAAACCTCTCTATAACATCCTCGTTTGTTTCGAACATTTTCTGGCTGCTATAGCGAAGAGTCGTTATAGAGAAATTTGACTATAGAATCAAAACTCTATATAACAGCCTCGTTTGTTCCGAATATTTTCTGGCTGCTATAGCGAAGTGTTGTTATAGAGAACAAATATTATAGTATAACATGAAAAATTGGTTGCAATAAGAAAACTTGGTTGTTATAATGAAGTGATGCTATAGAGGATTGTTGTTATAGAGAAGTTTGACTGTAGTACTTTTCTTCTCCTTGTAGATAATGAGCAAGGTGCCGGAAAATGATCCAATAATGGGAGGTCCCAATGAAAAGCAATTAGATTTCACCGG